ATTGTCCAATTGTATATGATAATTTCTCTTTAAACAACCACTTGTTACAAGGTCCAGACCTAACTAATAGACTTTTAAGTGTATTGATACGTTGGCGACAAGAATTATTTGCAGTCATGGCCGACATAGAATCCATGTTCTACCAAGTTAGGGTAGCTAAATCTGATTGTGACATGTTACGTTATTTATGGTGGCCAAAGGGAGATTTGACAAAACCCTTATGTGAATATAGGATGCTTGTACACGTTTTTGGTGCGACCAGTTCCCCTGCATGTGCAAATTATGCTTTACAGAAAGTAGCATTAGATAATCAAAATGATTATAATCCTTTTGTCATTGATAGTATACTTAATGATTTTTATGTAGATGATTTTCTAAAGTTAGTTAGTGATGAAATTATAGGTATTTCACTTATTCGTGATGTTTGTGAACTCTTATCTAAAGGTGGTTTTAGATTAACTAAATGGATAAGTAATAGTCGTAAATTGTTAAATTGTATTCCTGAGCAAGATCGTATTGAAGAAGTGAGAGATTTAGATTTATGTAATGATTTACCTGTTAAAAGAGCATTAGGTGTGCAGTGGTGTGTGGAAAGTGATATGATTGAATTTAAGGTTGAAATTTTAAGTTCATTAGCAACTAGACGTAATATTTTGTCTGTAATGAGTTCTATTTTCGATCCTTTTGGTATTGCCTCCCCATTTATTTTAAAGGCTAAAATTATATTGCAAAACTTATGTCGTGCAAAATTAACATGGGATGAACCCATTCCTTCTGAATGGAATATTAAGTGGTGTGAATGGCTTAGTCAATTAAGTAATTTAGAACAATTAAGAATACAAAGGTGTCTTAAGCCTTATAATTTTGGCAACATTGTAAATACTCAATTACACCATTTTGCTGATGCAAGTCAGGACGGTTATGGTACAGTGACATATATACGATTCTTAAATGACAGTGGTAGTGTGCATACCGCTTTTGTGTTAGCTAGATCGCGTGTGGCACCCTTAAAGCCCCACACTATTGTGAAGTTAGAGCTTTCTGCAGCAACTTCTCTTGTAAGAATAAATACTATGTTGAATCGTGAATTCTCAATTCCAATAGACCGTGAAATATTTTGGACTGACAGTCAAACAGTGCTGAAATATGTAAACAATAATACGTCGCGATATCCAGTATTTGTGAGTAACAGAATCGCTGTTATACGTGATGGATCCAATGTTAGTGATTGGAGATACGTTCCGTCTAAAATGAACCCTGCAGATTATTGTTCAAGAGGACTTGGTGCAACTGAACTCTCAAGTAAAAGGTGGCTTGAAGCACCAGAGTTTCTACATAATCCTGAAACAGAGTGGCCTGAAAATTACAATGTAAATAATGAGACTTGTGACAATGAAATCAAGGTGAACAGTGTGAAATGTGAAAATGACTGTGTGACTCAGTTATTTCAGAAGTACTCTGATTGGGTTAAACTAAAACGTTGCGTGTCGTGGTGGATGCGCTTAAAGGCGATTCTTAAACTTAAAGCAAAGAAACAGTCAATACCCGATGATTTGTGTAAACATTCCTTATCTCATGAAGAAATTGTCAATTCAGAAAGTGTAATTTTAAGATATGTTCAAAACTCATGTTATTCAAAGGAAATAGATGTCCTTAAGAACGACAGCAGTGAGAAGTGTGTGACATCGAATAGTGATATTTCCAGTTTAGATCCCATATTAAAGGACAATCTTTTACGCGTCGGTGGTCGATTACGAAATAGTAATATTCCTTATAATGCTAAGCACCAAATAATATTACCCAAAAATTGTCATATTTCGTGGTTAATTGTGAAACATATTCACAAAGTTGTAGGACATCAAGGTATGAATCATACTGTATCAGAACTTAGACAAAAATTTTGGATAATAAAAGCTGGACTTCTAGTGAAAAACTTTATTAGAAATTGTGTGACATGTCGAAAATCTAATTCCCGTGTATGTGAACAGAAAATGGCAGACATTCCAGTGTCAAGACTTATTCCGGATGAGAAACCATTTAGTAGAGTGGGCATAGATTATTTTGGCCCGTTTTGTGTAAAAGTAGGTCGTTCGGTGAGGAAGAAATATGGTGTAATATTCACCTGTCTCGCTTCTCGTGCAATACATATAGAGGTGGCAGACACGTTGGACACTGATTCGTGTGTAAGTGCAATTCGCCGATTTATTGCTCGACGAGGTTATCCAGTTGAAATATTTTCTGATAATGGGACCAATCTTATCGCTGCAAACAAAGAATTGAAATCTTCATTACAACAGTTAGATCAAAATGTGTTAAATCATTTCTCTGCTAGATATAGTTTCAAATGGAACTTTAACCCTCCTGCCGCATCCCATTTTGGTGGCATATGGGAAAGACAAATTCGTACCATAAGAAAGATTTTACAAGCTATTTTATGTGATCAGTATTTAAAAACGTGTCAAAGTGAAGAACATTTGCGAACTTTCATGTGTGAAGTAGAGGCTATAATTAACAGTCGTCCACTTACCAAAACTTCAGACAATCCTAATGATTTAGATGTACATGTAATTACCCCAAATTCCATATTATTGTATGATAATAATGTATTATTTCCCATAAGTACTTTTAGTGACAGAGATCTTTATGCTAAAAGACGGTGGCGACAGGTACAATACCTGTCAGACTTGTTCTGGAAACGTTGGACTAAAGAATATTTACCCTCCCTTCAGAAACGCCAAAAATGGTTAAAACCCCTTAAGAATATTGCAATAGGTGATATTGTCTTAGTTGTCGATAGTATGTCGCCAAGAGCTTCTTGGACTATGGGTAAAGTAGTTGAAACTTATCCAAATAAGCTTGGATTGGTAAGAAGTGTCAAATTGAAAACACAGACTGGTTTTTTAGTAAGACCAATTGATAAGTTGTGTCTCTTGTTAGAACAAGAAAATTAGTGGTGTAATTGTAATCATTACTAGTATTAGTTATATTTATACATATACATACAAGTAAATGTCTTTGGTGAAAGGTGTAATGTGGATTTGGTGACTATAACTTACATGTAATTAGAATCAGAATTTGAATTATGCTATTAGTATTTTGTAGTTTATTTAAAGGTCAAGTGTGACAGACTTTAATATGATATATTAAAATAACTCAGTATTTGTGTGATGGTGATAAGATGTTATACATGTTCTTAAGTGTAAAATAATATCTAGTAATTATTATTATTAACTACAGTATTCATATTTAGTGTAACATTTTGTGTTAAAGGTATTAATATTTGAATTTAGTTTTAAGTTAATAATGACGATTCATTATTTGTTTATATTTGAACATATAAGTATTTGTATCTCATTATGTATAATTCGATAGGGGCCGGTTATGTTATGTTCAAAATCGGTAAATGAGAGTCTGGATGTTCGAGTGTGTCTGAGTGGAAGCGCGTGTTGCTAGGTGATTGACTATTATAGGATGTGAAAGCAGACGCATGGTGACCGGTGAGCCAAGCCCTCGTGTTTGTGTGTAATGGGGGTTTTGATATCGTTTTTCACGATGAATTTGATGTTGACACTCAACTTTCCTTTATTATAACGGTGAATTGTGAACTCAATATATATTCTGTGTGAATGAATATGTATGGTGAATCTTTTATAAGGTGAATTTAGACCTTTTACTTGGTCATTTGTGTGATGTGATCAAACCGTGAACTGTACTTTTCTCTGAACATTTTCCTGTTTTGTATGACATTTATTTAGTTTATAATATACTATAGTTGGAAATAATATTGGTTTGTTATTGTTGATGTCGAATCACCAGTGATACAGCAAAACTACGCCCTTAACACGACCCACGGCTCACCAGTACTATATAACCATTAAAACAAACGATTAGTTGCTTTGATTATTTGTTGAACGGTCTGTATTGCATCTACACTTGTCTACCAATCTAATTAAAACCCCATTTCATTTTGTTATCTAGATATTTTAAGGTTGCTTTTGTGTAACTAAAACACAGATCTGAATAAAACACAAATCCTATTTCGTTTCATTTTTTATAGCTCAAAATTTCGTTTTACTTGCCTTCACTACATTAGGATCTGGAAGAATTATTATATAACCCGCGTTCTGGTTGTTGTGAGGGTTTAACCAATGAAATTGTCTATTGTGGTGAGTTCTTGGCTTGCGGTGCACGGAACTGTGGTTAGACATTCGCAGCGAAGACAAATCTAAAATTGTGTTTCCAAATACCCACTTGGAACATCAACACTGATTGGTTAATCAAATGGCTGACGTCTTAGAGTATAAAGCCGCTCGTATGACCCCTGACGCCACCTTCCACTAGTTATATCTAAATATTAAGGCCATCTGCAGATTTGGTCAAAGGTTGCGAGGTGGAAACAGGGCTAGCGCTAACGCTATTGTTAAAACAACATTTTAGTCATTTTGAGACTAACATATGATAACTATCCTTATGTGCCAAACGATGGACGTGTGTGGGGAGGGGTGTCCCGACAGTTCCACTTCGGCTTACCCTTCTTCAATTTCGAACTGCCAAGGCTGCCTTTATGTGCAATATGTAGGCCTACATGGGTGGGACCCTGTTTTCGCCCATTCGAACGACTAGACAGACACCCTCCTAATCAACCCCACAAGCAGTACCCCAGAAAAGTAAGAACCGGGCTTGAAAATTCCAGAAGGTCTATGCCAAGATTCAAATCTAGACGAGGGGCCCTATCGCTCGACTACTGCGGTCCCCTAAACTAAGTATATAGAGAGGTGGTAATGTTTCGTTATCCAGTATATATTTATTGTACAGGGCCCCCATATTCCGGGCCATCTACTTATTTTGCCCAGACAGCGGTGTTACGACCTACTCTTATTTCGAATTCCAACCGGCAAGGGTTCTTTTACGTGCACTCACACGGGACGCCAGTCTTTCGTCATGTCCGAACTACTGCACACTGTTCGTGGCCAGGTTCTCTGATATACACCACTAACAAATTCAAATTCTACTCACTTTATTTACAATCTAACTGTCTTTCTTTATTTCTGTATAAAACATTAATAGAAAACATCCGAGATTTACATGCTAGTTAAATCTCTACTTTGGTATTATTGGACAAGTAATAAATCTTTATATCTCATAAAAAGATTATATAACCAAAATATAAATATTATATCTTCAATAATAACACATCAGTAATAATTAAAAAGTCAACCCCTCTTTTAATCTATTTTGAAAAAATAAAATATCGGGACCATTACGACATTGAAGCACGATTGTACAGTATGATTAGTCTCGGTCACCCAGAAACTCCTAGTCCTCAACGTACGTAGAATATTTTTCTGGATGATAGAGACTACAGAATGATTGGTTTACAACAAAATGTCTAAATGAAAATCGCGTACAAGCAAGGGACAGCACAGGGATTGCAGCTGCTCATCATTTGACTACTCAACATGGCGGGCTGGCCGACTTCAGACTCTATTTTGTAAGATCACAAAGTCGATATCCGTTAGCGTCGCAAATCGCCCGTAATGCGGTAGACGAAAGGAATCGCCCGTATATGCGCTAGATGAATTGAATTACCCGCAAATGACATCAATGCTATAATAATTAATGAATATAAAGCTCTATTATCAATAAAAAATACAGGAAATAATACAAAAGCTAGCGAACCACGGCATAATACTACAAAATACAGTGATTAAAAATCCATTAGGTAAAATAGATAATATAATGGCACAGACGTGAATAGGCTAGATGTTTAACATCTAATACATGTATCAATAACCTGAATGACATGATATATGAACATTATTCTATGTATAATAACAAGTGGTTGCTATGTAAGATATGCCCATATTTTGCAAGAGATGAACAGAGAACAACTAAAAAGGCGATTTTCGTACAATAAAGGCCAAAAATCCAAACAAAGTGTGAACGGGTGGACGGACAGGGGCGACGACAACATACGTCCACATGAAAATGTGGGCGTATAAAAATACAATAGCGCCTTTTGGCCCCCCCCCCCCCCCGCCACACACACGCGCACGCACACACACACTTTCTCAAGTCCACTACTAATGTTCCATTATTGACGATTTAAAGAGTTGCACTGAAAGAAAAAATGACCGTTGGTTAACAACGAAGAAGTGACAGCATTACACCAGTTGTTTAAAGGAAGGCTCGTATGACAGCTTAAAAAAACGACACTATAACAGGATGTAAAATGAGTTAACATCCATTGTACTATACGATTAACCCGCTTACGATCAAATAACATGATATATATGGCATATCCATTTCTCCTGTTTCAAACAAACAACATAGATCCTTCAAATCGGCTATACCGTTCAGGAAGTGGTCTAAAATTTTGGGTAGGGTTGTAAAGCGAGGACATTTTCTCTGGGTTTCCCCAATCGAATAAGACAACCTATTGAATTATTAAGGACTTCCCTGTCCAGATGTAATTCTAGCATACAATCACTTAAATAAATAGTCAATAGTCAAAAGTCAAAAGTCTGGATGTTTACATATCGAACAATGTTGTGTCCCTGATTATTGACACGTGCTGGATTTGTATTTATGAGTGACGGTAGACTGTTTGATATATACATCAAATTAAGTTTATGTTTGAAGAATAAAATAATGTCCTCGAAAGCGAGCTGTCGGCCAGCTGTCCGGGTCGAAAAAGCTTGATGACCCTGACCCAAAACTGAATCTAATATATGTTTTAATAGATATAATCAGAAAAGAATCTCTGGATTTTGGGTAGACTTTCGAACTTTCAAATAATCTGTCGTATTATCATTCAGCTTTGTTTAGTAATGTGACGATCAAGACATTGTGTATTCCACAGGAATGTGGTAATTACGCTCATTAAAATTATCCTATACACCTAAACGTCATTGATTCATAGTCATTACTTATGATTATCAAGCCCCTCTTGGCAGAAGTGTACCTGGGTGGGAGATTTCGAGGACATGTTGAACCCTTTTGACCATACACTCAAGACATAAATGTGCTTTTCATAAAAGCACTAAGCATGGATGGATACAGTGTGCGTTTTTAGATAACGTCAAATCGACAAAAGCAAACCTCCCCCTTTAACAATAAACTAAACTTAAAGCAGCTAAACCCCTTTCCTCAAGGTCATAATAAAATATTGATTTGGTTTGATCCGATATGGTGACCCAAATCAAAGAAGTCTCGTCAATTAAAAGCTGAACCTTCCTGTGGCATTTTGTAAACTTAGCCTTAAATATACATAACATAATATAACGAAGTATAAAACGAAATATTAACACTTAACATAAGCTTAAATTGGTCATATATCGGAACAGTTAAAAACAATCAAAAATACAAGTACGCTTTTATCTATATATCTGACCTAAACAGTTTAGATCTATCACTTTTAACTTTCTGCAAATTAAATGTTGTATTTGTTTGAACCAAGTTCGTCATTTTTATTCCCAATAAAAGAAGCGGTTCGGTGAAAGTATTCCCATGTCAGTTGCCCCTATAATTTTTTGGGCATAAATTAATAATTACTCAAATTTGTTATTCAACCTTTGCATAAAATTCAAAAACTGATGTTACACATTTTTGACTGGGGTGACTAGTATGTCAGAAATAAAATAATATACTGTCTGTTGACATATTTACCCTTTGTGCTAGTAGCAACCAGCAATTTAAATTTGAGTAAAACTTAAGTTGAAGCAAACTATTTCATGGTTTGATCCTTAGAATTTTATTGGGCTATCAATCCTGGTTATCATTCTAGGGAGCACGGGTGTGGGGGTCGGGGGTGTTAAGATGTCTTTCTTTTTACCGAGACAATTTTATAGTGATCTCGGGAGATAAAATAATACTTATAATATGAAATGATGCAATGATACCAATATAACAATTAACGTTAAAAACAAACTGTATGTTATTGTTGAACCACCAGATATTCTACACCTCAGATCATCAAACCTGTAATTATAGAACAATAGTAAATCTTAATAAACTCACAGCAGTAAACTACTAATTAGCTTACAATAGTAGATGTTAATAAACTCACAGCAGTAAACTATTAATTAGCTTACATTAGTAAACCTTAAGAAACTCATGGTGGTAAACTATATATTAATTAGCTTTCAACGGTAAAATTTTATAAGCCCATAGAAGTAAACTTAATCACCCCACACTAGTAAACCGTAATGAGCTCACTGTAGTAAACCATTAATTAGCTCACAGTGGTAAACCTTAATAAGTCCACGGCCACAATAGTAAACCTTCACGATAATAAACTTTAATTAATAAGCTCACGATAGTAAATCTTAATAAGCTGGCAGTAGTAAACTTGACTTATTAAGCTCACAATAGTAAACCTCAAAAGGCCCACAATAGTAAACATTAATAATCTCACAGTAGTAAACCTTAATAAGCTGGGGGTTGGATGGCTGAATGGTTAGCGTGCGCGCGCTGTATCATAAAGTCTGTCATTGAGTCGACTGGCGCGGTTTCGAATCCCCGGTTGTACGTGACAAGGAGTAGGGTCGCCTGTCCAACCTCGTGGGTTTTCTCCGGGTCCCCCGGTTTCCTCCCACTGCTAAAGACCCCTATGCACAAGCGAATTATTAAAATAAAATTAAACCATATGTTAGTCCCGAAATGACCTAGTTTGTGTCGAGTGGACGTTAAACCCCATTTCTCTCTCTCTCTCTCTCTCTCCTTAATAAAGTCAGAATATTAATCATAAAATCACCTAGTACGAAATTTGTTTCAACTACAAACAACATACGATGTAAATCAATTCGCGTTTAAAGATGCAAAACCCGATTGTAATAAAATAAAATAATTTTTTTTATCCTACTAACAGATAATACAGGAGAACTGCACAACAAAACACGGACAGAAAAAACTGATACTGGAATATACTATATTAAATAAATAATTTCTAACTTTTGCAGCATGAAGTGTTCCTAAAATATATTATTTTAGTGCACATAAGATGGTTTTAAACTTGAAAATTCTTTAATGTGATTTTAGGTGTTCGTTTTAATTCGCTGCGAAACCCTTACATTATAATATGTGGGCTATTTATTATATCGGTGGAGCGATGCGGATTCAAAGAAATAAACAAAAAACAACCACAATAACAAATTAACTAAACTAAAAACAAGCTGTCCAAAATTAATATCATTCAAGTACTGTATTTGATGTGGAAAATTGCATGCCTAATGACGCAAGTAGAAGTACGTCATTGTATACATGTAATGGGAATCCATCAAGCAGGACGGGGTTCTATTTTTTCTGTTTTTTCTTATAATACAAACATTTTTAAAATTCTTTTTGAAACATTTGATCTTGTTTACTTCACATACTCTTTTGCTATTTGAAACCCATTTTTGCTATTTGAAACCCATTTTTTTTTTTTTTTTTTTTTTGGGGGACGGGTACGGGTTGTCACATACCTGCCATATTATATAAAAACAATTATAGTATGCATTTATGTATTTTTATGATATATTATAGCAGGGCTGGAGTAATGACATGTAATCATTACATTTTTTTTAAGTATTGGCCATGTAATGAGTAATGGAAGATTTCAAAAGTAATGAGTAATTCAAAAAATCATGTAATGGTCAATTATGACATATATGACATGTATAAATATTTCCAATATAACTAGCCTCAAATTTTATAGAACCAAAGAAGAAAATTAAGTCCATCTGATACAAATCCAATTCATTATAATTAAAAAAAAAGATTTAAATCAGTTTTAACAAATTATAATAAGAAAGTAATTGTAATGATTACATTTAAAAAGTAATGTTAATCTAATTAATTACATTGGCGATGTAATGGCCCCAGCCCTGGATTATAGTCAGTACACTTCAGTCATTTATCAGTGCACCATTCAACCCGTAGTCCATAGCTTAAAGTAGAAATAAGCTTAAGTACCTTCGAATAATTTATAGCCCGTAACCAGCTATTTGTTAAATATATCTATCCATTTAGAAAGTCTAACTGTCTATGGTCTATTTTTCGATAACTTTGGCTAGCTTCGCAGACACGCCATTTTCGGGAACCGCGCTGGCTCAGTGGATAAGATGTTGGCTGGCTAACCTGACGGTGCAGTGTTTGATCCCGGTGTTGGCCGAGAAAGTTCATTGAGATTTTCCGGCGTGGACCCACCTTGTCAGTGGTGCACGGACAACATATAGATAGTCGTTCGGATGGGACAACAAACTGAGGTCCCGTGTACACACTGGCGTGCTCGACAAAGATCCCTTGACAGCTGGAATTCGAAATAAGTGTCGGCCGTTGTGCCGCCAACTGGGCGTTTCCGAAAGAGTTGCCGACAGTGATCACATCATGTACTTTTTGTACCTTGTGCGTAACCGGAAGCGTAAATGTCTCAGGGACTTATTTTGGCGATCCAATATTGCTCCTTTAAGTGACTATAAAAAAGATTATGCGATATATTATACCAACAATAATAACAAAACTGTGACTGTTTTGTCCTTGACTGATTTACCATCTTCTGATAACTCGAATACAAATGGGGTAAAACGAAAAAGATTATGCGATATATTATACTATTACCATAATAACAAGACTGTGACTGTTTTGTCCCTGACACATTTACCATCTTCTAACAACCCGATTAAAAATGGGGTAAAACACAGAAAAACTTAATATTTATAAATCGCCCTTTTTTTTCTAAAAGAGGTTATATTATTTTAAAAACGGGTGTCTTCCCCTTCGCTTTTATTTTTTCTCTGGGCATCTTTGTCACGGTTCCTCAATCATTTGTTCTGTCTGATTATTATTGTGCAGTTCTCCTATATTGTATGCTAGTAAAATATATCAAAGTATTGGTCTAACTTAAATGAGAAAAATGTGAAAACCGGATCGCAAAACCTTTCTGGAGATAATACGAATCGGTAAACATTACGCGAATTATTAAAAATGTCTCCTTTCTTGTGTGCAAATACACATTAGATTTTCTCCATAGAGGATATCATCAAGCCAGTCGGAAAATTATCTCCGTTGATAATTTGAATGATTTCTATTAAAGTTGACGATCGTCATTATTTGGTCAAATATATTTCACGGTTTAACCCAATCTAAAATGTACTCAAACTGGTTATTTAGCATTTGATTAAGAACACTTGAGAGCAGATAAAACCGTGGGTCCGCGAAAATTGACGATTGGCGGTTTTAAACCATACAGCTTCTCAATATATTAAAGGAGCTAAATCGCTAACATTTGGGACCTAGAAATTCACAAAAGTGAGTCGCAACGCATATAATACTGTAATATGAATGTATATAAACTGATTTACATTTAATGGTTTCCGTTTTTACTCCAATTTCAAATCAGTTATGTTCGGCGAAATAAGTCAGCAATCTCAATCGAGTGCAAATTTCTAGCGTCTAGTTATTCTAGTCTACATAACTCCATTTGATTTGGTGCAATGTGTCTAGCCTCGTCCCTCGAGTCTCTCAATACAACTGGGGCTGAAGCGCATTATGGTACACGATTCGTGTACCAATGTTAAAAAAATTATTTTATCTTAAATATCGGATATCAGAAACTCATCTTTTCCCGGTAAGTTTACATCATCAATGTTGATTTAAATTGACCAATAATTCGTGTTTTCGATGTCGAAGATTTTGGAGGATTTTGAGTTACGGACTTAGGTCCTTTAACACAACGGTTTAGCAGGAAAACTTTACCATATTGCAGGGAATCATATTGGGTCGTGGTCCTTAATCTGGTCTGATTTTTAATCATTTATTTTCTTACCTGCTAAATAAACCTTTCATCTTCTTTTCATATTCTATTTCTACCAAGGATCCTTCTATCCAGAATTTACCATCATTATGCATATATTCATAACCCTCTTTACAATCACATCTATACGATCCTCTCATGAACTTAAAACCCGGTTGTGGTCTACACTGAAAACAGATTTATACAATAATAAATAAAAGGGGAAACAATTACATACATTAGCTCATATTGAAAATAAACTTAACAAGCCAACAGTGAGGCTGCTGTCCCCAGCCGAAATCCCGAAATAAATAGATGATACATATTATTTAGTCGCACATTTTTTTTTCTCAAAAGTATCCAGCAATCAATCTGATTATCAACTATACACTAAGTTTCATCACTCTCTATCAGATAGAATTAAAGTCATCTTGTCCCAAAGCATCGATCAATGAAATTGCTTAGCTCTACTTGAACTCAGTTATGTTCCAAAGTTTTGACCAATCAGATTGCTTATCGCTCCTTAGCCTAAGCAGAAAATTCTCACCATCGAACTTAGTCAAGGTAATGATAATGAATCTATACTCGGAGTTTCATCGCTCTCACTTAGTTATTACCAAATTTATTGTGCCCCAGATCATCAACCAATCAGATTGCTTATCTCTGCTGACCGTAAGCAGAAAATGTTCGCCTACACCAAGTTTGAACATTTTACCTCAATTAGAAGGAGATTTATTGTGTTCCAAAGTCTCGACCAATCAAATTACTTATCGCTCTGCTTACCCTGAGCAGAAAATGCCTATTATCGAACTTAGTCAAGGTTGTGATGTAATGAAACTATACACCAAGTTTCATCACTCTCACTTAATTAGAACTAAAATTATCGTGCCCCAAAGGTCCCGTGTACACATTGGCGTGCACGTAAAAGATCCCTTGACAGTTGGACATCGATATAAGAGTAGGCCGTAGTGCCGCTGTCCGGGCAAAATTTCCCTCATAGCACACTGTATGGCGTATGCCCGTCTTCATTAGCCAAGTCCGGAGCAGAACAGTAGGACGTTAAACCCCATTTCATTTCATTTAAGTAACAAGGCAATCATTTTTATTAAAGATACGTAAACAAATCCCGACTTACGATATGGTGAGAGTTGGCGTATAATTTACGGCAAAAGTTTTGATTTTCGTAAGTTAGTTACGAAGTTTATGGAAACACAGATTTAAGCAGTTACCTGATTCATTTACAATCTTAAAAAAACACAAACAAGTCAATGAACTAAACATGTTATCATAATATATATCATCAAAGGAAAATAACTCGGAGACAAAAAAAATAATTTGAACTAGACATGTACACTTAGTACATATTCGATTGTAGTAAAGTATACACAAACAAAATTATAGTTACAATTTTATATTTTTTTAAGAAAGTCAAAACATAATTATTTCTATGTCTTTTGCTCAATAGGTTGTCAACTCACTATTATACGATCATAGGTGTCATTCTCACACTAAAAACTCATTTACACCGGAAATAATAACACAATTACCCCCCCCCCCCATTACCTCCCTTGTTTTCTATTCTCCACCATGGAGTAGTTATTTTCAAACGTTGGAATTTGAAGATGAAAATGATATTTTTGCCAATTTCTCAACTGGCAATAGTGAATTATAGGATTAATAGGATTATTCTTTAACAAGATAAGACTGTTTATAGATACCATCTATTTTAAGGCTTTATAACTTAAAAATATGAAATTGCAACTTTAAAAACTATATCAATTTAAGCTGTTACCTATTTTATTTGCAATTTAAAAAAAAAAGAAAAGAAAACTGACATGAGTAAAATGTTCTCACATGATAATATCTAATGTTATTTTATGCCTTTTGGATTTCAAAAGAATGCGAACTTATTTGACAATAAAACTTTTAAGTATTAATTTACGACGCGGTTGAAATGATGGATAATAGTGTTATGCCTGGATAATAAAGCATACTAGAGTGGAGACTGTGGGTCTGTCTTTATGTGCAGCGCTTTTCCATCAAGTTACACATATTCATATGCGCATAATTAGTTCTTTCTTAAAGCGCGAAGATTGAAGATGCATTATGTGAGATTTAGATAGACAGCAGGCAGTTATCGTTATAATAATAGTCTAAGAATATATAATTACTTTATTCTATATGAAGTTATAAATGTTTGAAGTTATGAGAAGAAATATGGTAAATAGTCTCGATTGTCAACATAGGCATGGGGGGGGGGGGACTATTTGCACCAAAATTTGCTTTTTCACCCGAATATTCAGATCCTTGAATTTTCATTACACAACAATATAAATATACAATAAAATTTTGTTAAGCAAAAATCAACTTAATGTTCCCAATTATCTTATGATTGTGCCCGAAAAACGGAAATACATTGCCCGGAAAATGGACGGTTCACCGAACCTAGAGGGAAGGGGTTGGGTGGGGTGGGGGGCTAACATCTGTTTCAATTTTATTTCAATAATACGCTTGCACGTTGGGTTCTTAAGCAGTGGGAGGAATCCGGAGGACCCGGAGAAAACCCACGTGGTTGGACAGGCGACCCTACTCCTTGTCACATTACAGTTGGGAAATGGAAACCACGCCGCCCATGTTAAATGAGAAAACGTCCATGACATTGAAGGAACACTTGAGTGACGCTGGTGTTGGATTCACTTCATTTGAGTAATTAATAGCTGAGAGAATGTTAGAAATTTGGTTGAGGTCAAAACAGTGAGTTGGTGTTAAGTTTTGAGGTAAATAATTATAATTATCCATTTACATTTTACTTATAGGTAAATAGAACAAATTATTTATTGAAAATGACCATGAGTTTCAATTTCAAAATTTAATATAGTTTCCAAAGTGCCATCTTTTTACTAATATGAACGTCAGATTAAGGGTTCGGGTTAACTGTTTTACTGTCACAAACTCTAACACTAGCACTGACGTTTTGTTCTGACCTCATCCAATGTCGAGTAGACCTAATGCTTCAGCCAACCGATGATCTAAAGAGTTAATTATGACCTTGCCATGCGAATAATTACTAAATAACATTTAAAGCCAGAAAAAAAGACCCACAATTGGCAAATTTCGCGCTTCGATAATGACTGTTTAACATATTACTTTATTTTGTTGTACACATATATAATAGTCCTATACTTATTACTAAAGGTTCATATTACTGTCAATAATTTTGTACATCGACATCTTCAAACGCGTTTTATTGCAATCGCAACTCTTCGGTGTGTACTTAACAAATCTAAGTTTAGGTTTTTCTAAATTTTATTTAAATCCGATCCGGATGAGGTTGATCTCTAATACAAACAAATCGACATAGTAGAGCACAAGGAATTCAGATTGAAATAAAGTATTTTTACCTTAGTAGATTCCAGATCACATCGAGCTGTGTTTTTAAAAGCGTTAGCAACATGGAATGGTTGTGGACATTGGTTTATTTCTAATGCACCCAGTGGTACATCGACAGTTACGACACCCCTGCAATAATCAAATAATATAGAGTTAAATACATTAGACTGCCATTAAAACCTCAATGCGCCAGAAAGCTAATATCATTTTCCTTATCTAAATTTAATAAAATAAAAAAAGAGAGCCAAACCGTGTTCTTTAGAGAGCAACGAGTTATTCTGGATGACGTTTGTAGAGGGAAAAAGATGGCGGCGATAAATCAATAGAAAGTAATGTAAACTTTGGGTGAGCATTACTTACGTTAGACTTTAGAGTGACCGATATTAATAGTGTTGGGCTAATGTGCTTTTCGATATAAGACTACCTGTAATTGTACACAGACTCAAATATGGTTTTTAATCTGAAATATTCGGCCTCCATTATCAATAATATCAAGGGGTAATTAATTCGCCCCGATGTCATCTCTATCAGTGATATTGGCGGCCAATTGAATATTTAATCGGTCGATCCGGCCTACATTGTCTCCGTTTGGACTACAGAACCGAACCCAACTTTATTTACTCACATCATATACATGACATATGACTGATAGGTTATTAACATATCTATAACATTGAGACAGCTAATTCAACAGTCAAGGAACATAAAATGAATTTTGTATTATCTTTAAAAACATAATTAATTGTATAATTATAGATTGTTTAGTTAAATTAAATAGCACCAGGCCTTATATAAAAATACCAAGGTATATATAATTTCGCGCTCAAGGGATGTATTTTGTATTATCTATACACACATAACTGTATAGATTGTAAACAAGCATTAGTTCGTTTCGTTTTTTATAGTTCAAAATTTCGTTTTACTTTCTCTTACGACACTAGGATCTGGAAGAGTTGTCATATAACCCGCGTTCTTGTTGATGTGAGAGATTAGCCATTGAAACGGTTTATTACGGCGATTTTTTGGCGTGCGGGGCACGGAACTATGGGTATCCCACTAGAAACACCAACGCTGATTGGTTAATCAAATGTCTGACGTCATAGGGTAAAAAACTGCTCGTGTATTAAAAAACGAAACGAAATATAGATCTATATTTTAATCAGATTGTGTCAGGGGCGAGTCTAACTGGTACTCCGTCTTTATTAGCCCAGTTCGGAGCAGAACCGTAGGACGTTAAACCCCATTTCATTTCATTTCTAACTGGTTCACAGTTTCTAGAAGGTATTATAGTAGTATTATATAATGTTCGTCTGAAAAAAATAACAATTACACTTACATGAATTTGGTTCTCTTTCTTATACCATCCAAACCAAAGAACGGAACCACATACGTGATTATCCAGTCATCAACTCTTCCGTCACATTTAAATCTAGGGTTCGTCCAGTAACCATCGGAATATTCTGGTGCTTTATAGGAGAGAGGAAAATGTTCAAACCTAATACTACTGGTTCCTTTTGGATCGGAGCGAATCATTGGTCGTAGTTTGAACGTTTTGAGTTGAACAGTGTTGGACTGCCACCTCGATTTAACCGTCATATACCAATCCTCGTGTACATACGCTTCTGGTAACCCAGCTGAGTCAATGGCATAATAACCACCGTCTTTTTGATACGCTAAAGGACCAAAATATTCTCTGACAGAATCATCAGGATTTATAAATTGATTCGTGTCGAAAAAAACGCCACTAGACCGTATTTGGTAATTACCCATAACATTAGCTATCACCTCTCCAAAAACATGCTCCATGTTCAAACGACCGCCACCTAGCATGTTTCCAAAATCTTCATCTGGGCTCGTATTTTGTAAAAAGTTACTCAAAAAGTGCGCCAATCTTAGTGCTGTTCTTCCCTCCGATTCCATTTGACTGTTAACACCATAAGCAACACTGCCTGGCATAGACTTGGTTGCATCAGACATATCGCGACAATTCGATGCCGTCACTGCTGCTTTCTGTCTGAATACCTGCATCATTTTCTCAAAGGCAACATAATCATAAGTGAAGGCCCTCTTCTTTCTGGAAAGAAGTTTGAGTTTTTGAGCTGGTGTTTTTGGTGGTTTCTGTTTAGGTTGCCGAGAAACATATTTGACTCGTCTTGATGGATATTGCCGTGGACGTTGTTTGTTTTCGGGACCAAATGGTCTGAATTTGAGTTCTTCTCCGGTTTCATTGAATGATTTAAGAGTTCTTGATATAAATCCAGTTCTACGCACGTGACTGGTGTCTCGTTTGGTCTGAAGGCCACCACTTCCACCACCTTCAATAACGGTTCCTTCTAAAGTATCCACTACTGGTAATACTTGACGAACTATAGAAAAAAAAACAAATAACGAAATTCAAATAACGAAAACTGTATCTGTGCTTATTGTGTGTTTATTCTTTCTAGACCCGTCACCTCTCGTATATTATATAACTGATATTAGAACGTGCTCTGAAAAGTTTGTTAGGTCATACACGTTGCTCGGTATCATAAGAACAATCCAAGAATATATATGTCACTGACTAACCTCTAGACAGAAAATGTATATTAAAAATTAACCTAGCTGTAGACCGGAATTGTAAGTTATGACCTCTTTAGACCGGAAATGTAAATGTAAGTTTCGACCTCTTTAGATCGGAAATGTAGGTTATGACCCCTTTGGACCGAAAATGGAAGCCATGACCTCTTTAGACAGGAAGTTGAATGGTTTTTAACTTTAGTTTGATATCTGTACATCCAGTCACAATTTATTAAACAATCAAACATTTAGATGACACTTTTAATTTATGACTTACATTCTACATTTGTACAATCGAATCCATTTTTATATTCTTCATCTGTAGCTTGTTCTATATTATCACCTTGATATGGTGGATCTATATATATAGGATATCTTTTACCTGGTTTACACACACATACATAACCTCCTCTCATAAAACCATAACCTGGCTTATGTTTACACTGAAAAATATAAAACACTAAACCTTCTTGAACTAAACCTTAAAGATACATTATGGGAAATTAGATAAAGAGCTGACAGTTCTTAATATAATAGTTAAAAACTAGATAATATAAAGGGAATTTGCTGAATATTTCAGTCAAATTGATCCACTCTGAAACGAGATTTTAGCGATTGAATATTGGGGCTAGCCTCGATCATCATTTCTAAAGTCGATAGGATAAAAAACATAGTCTCGATTATCCATTTTTTGATTTAATTATGAATGGAAGTCGAACAGCAAATCAGAACCTAATCCACTAAAGATCGTAGGCTAGCGATGCCACCGAGAGTTGATTATGGTCTGGATAAGTTAATTAATGTCTAACTAATAATTTAGATAACACTTCGGGCCTAAAGGAAGACCTGCAATAGGCAGATTTAGCTCTTGCATAATGTACGTTTAAGGATATACACCTCTGCCTTTCTCATATCTGATCTGATCTTTGTTATGCTATGTAACAATACAACAGACACAAATATAACCTCTTAGATTATTATACTGAAATATCCAAATAACACACTTATATGGAATAACAATTACTATGGGTTATTGCACTGTGACGTTTCAACAAGATTTCAAAACTTGTTATCAAGTATATATACACAAATAGACAAATTCCATAAAAAGTGTGCTATTTGATTATGTCCCAATTACTAAATAGCACTCAAGGAATATATACGCAATATTATAACCCCCTGAACAAGGTTATTGGTGTGCACGATTTAGGGAGGTCGTGTAGCCGCGGGTCGGTCAAAATGTCTCAAATAGCCCAGACGGAACACAGGGTATATAGGGCATAATCATATCCATTAAAATATAACCCAAATGTTTCCTCAACGAATACAATAAGCCATCTCCCCCCTCTCTCCCTCTCTCTCTCATAAGCTATGAACAAACTCCTCAACAACCTTCTCATAAACCCTTCTACTATATACCCAATCTCCTCTCATAAACCCGTATACCCAATCTCCTCATAAACCCTTATACCATATTCCTGATCTCCTCTCGTAAACTCCCGTATTATACCATACAACCAATTTCCTCTCATATACACATATACCATATACACAATCCTCTCATAAGCCGTATACCATGTACACGATCTCTTCTCATAAAACCGTATACCATGTACACGATCTTTTCTCATAAAACCGTATACCATAATATACACACATAAACACGTATACCATATACACACATAAACACGTATACCATATACACAATTTCCTCTCATATACCCTTATACCATCCAACCTCCTCTCATAAGCTCTTATAAGATATACACAACCCCTATACAAAACACTTACCCCTGTAGTGGGTTTGCACCTTGAAATGCCAGATAGATAGCTGGGTCCTGGATTACCAATACTTACTGGACAGGAATTAAAATCTATCATATCCCAATCAATATCCATTACAACTACAGCGACAGTTCTACAGTAAAAACAAACTACATGTATAGCCATTACACTAATACTAAATACAATCTTACACCGCCAGGTCCATTGCTGAAACAATATACACATCATACAGTCTTTAGACTAAAACTCACACATAAGCACACGATTTTTCTGAATTTTTCTCCAGAAAATAAGTATGACAAATTCGATTACACAAAAAAAGTACCATTTGTTTTATTTTCTATTAAAACAGTTTGTGACATTCTTCTTTAAGTTTCATATTTTGTCGGCTTGATATCAATGGTGTGGCTATTATTTCTCAAGAGTGGGTAGAAAGAGTTTATGTTTGAGACACATAGATGTAGGAAAACAAAGAGAGTCAAATAAATTATTTTTAGCTCTGCGAAACTTTATATACAGAGGTACATTCTATTAAAGGGTATGCAGAATATACTTTCTGAGGTTTTGTAACATTTTATTTTGGCAGTTTAGTAGTAAGATGATTGCATATTTCGTATTATATTTCTTGGTCGTGGACTCCAGTGTCGACAGGGCTGGTAACGTCCCATTCAAACCCGACATTCAAGTTAGTCTCGGTAACCCAGAATCTGTCAACATTTGACGAAATCTACTGGTAACCAACCCAAAATAAGAACAAACTCCCGGTAACGCATGGGCAATGGAACTTTTTAGCCGTAGCCAAGTAAGAGTTGCGCACCTCCCCGAAATAAATCGCACATTTCATGCATTATTATAAAATATGAATCATGACGGCGAACTTGGATTAATGTAAACCATTGATTTGATCCTTGAAGAGAGAAATTTTACAATAAAAATATTAAAGATACATTATGGGAGATAGATAAAGAGCTGGTTGTTCTCACTATAATAGTTAAAAACTAGATAATGTAAATACAATTTGCTGAAAATTTCAGTCAAATTGATCCACACTGAAATTTCTGCCTAGCCTCAATCATCATTACTAAAGTCTGCACGATAAAAAAAACATAGTCTCGATCATCCATTTCATGATTAAATTATGAATGGAAGTCGAGCAGCAAGTTGGATCATAATCCAGTAAATATCGCAGGCTAGCGATGCCATCGAGAGTTGATTATGGTCTGGATAGGTTAATTAATGTTTATTAATAATTTAGATAACATTTCATGCCTAAAGACAGACCTGCAATTGCATAATGTATGTTAAAGAGTGTTGGGTTTTGAATAGACAATGCAAACGAATTTTTCTGAAATTTAAATTCTTAAATTAATTTCATGGGCGTCGACATCTTGTTCTAAGGCTAGTTCCCTACGATTTTGTTAATGATAATGTAAAAGACCTGATAATCTAACCAATAACCAAGTTATCCTCAAATGTTGACAACCCGCCCAGACTAATATTCGTAGAATATTTGTTTAAATGATACTATAGACTACATTCAAGTCGACGGTTCGGTTTCCTTATCTGACGATATACTATTTGAAATAACGTCAGTACGATAAACTTCAAACAACAATTTCCATTATTCTGCTACCTGAAAAACTGAAAATTGACGTTTTCCAATTAATTTGAGAAGTACTGAGCGGCGTTATTTTAAAGCCCCAAAAATGTAAGACAATAAGGAGTATGCTTATTTCGAACAGGGGGGATATTGGGTCTAACACGCAGTATAACACCCAACACTAACTGAATTATCAAATGACTTACCGTGGACGTCTTAAATGAGTCCAATTTGAATATCTTGGCATGAACTCAACGACTGGACTTGTAGCACTAACAACCCACTTATCAGAAACACCACAATCAAAGTAGGGTTTGGTAAATGTTACTGGTAGCATTCTCTCATCTTTTTCTTGCTGACCTGGTTGTGGTGGTCCGAAAAAGGTGAAAGACTGAAAGTCATCTGTCATAAATTTTCCAGTCGTATTTGAGTATCTTAATCCAACGTTGTATGTGTATTTTGTCAGAGAATCCACGTCTCCCACCGTATCCGGCATCCATTTATTATACCAATTATTCATCTTATAACTGGGGTCAGTATAGTTGTTATTATATCCCGATCCGATATCTTTAATAGCCGCCACTTTCCGAGTTGGTTCCCGTAAAAAATTATCTTGGTCGTTGTAATCTTCCCATCTCCATGCCTTCGGTCCAAAATATTGTAAAGTCGTATTGAAAGGAACAGATACAAACCAATTAGTATAGGTGCAATTGAAATCAAAAATGATAGCACTGGCATTGATACCATAAGGATTGGCATTCACGTCCGCTCCCACAGAAAAATACATATACATCCAATTAGGCTGAGTTTGAAATACTTTTATATTGGTTTCGTTCAATTTCTGGTAAATATAACTAAAAAAGAAAGCCCTGTTTAAAGCCATATTGTGAAGATGAATCATCATTGTTCTGTTTTTGTACCACGTCATAGATCTTAAAGTGTTATATCTAGGAATCATCGTTACAAGGTCACCACGCATTTCCATATCTTGTTTGGATTTACCACGACAGCTATCTCCATCCATAGAATTATAAACTTCTTCCATCTCATCAAAATGATCATAAGTCATCCATTCGTATCGACCACATTCTACTGATACAAACAATATCAACACAAATATTCTAACTAAATAATCAGCTAACTCCATCTTGAGAAATAGTTAATCCTCCGATAAACCAAACATCTAAGCAATAACCATCCTCATATAGATTCTCTTGTAAACTTTCCTTAACTTCCAGGTTCTATAATAAAAGATAAAAATTGTGAGACAGTGGAGAGATTCGTCGACTAACACAGACAATCGTTACATCCCAAATCAGGTGAGATCTGGATATTCTGCGATGTAAATATGTAATTTAATAATGCATCAGGCCACCTGAGGAGCAAAATCGATATGTTGTTCATGAGTGACGCTACTACATGTCATATATCCACATCTATTTTCATCTAAGAAAGGTTGGCCTAAATCCGTTAAAATTAACTTGGTATCATGTATTAACTGCTGTGAGTTATAATTATATATAATTCCCCAAAAAACGTCTCTTATTTCGAATTCCCCCCAAGGGTTCTTTCAACGTGTATGTGAAGCTTAAACGCACGTAAGACTTATGTCCATGTAAATCAAATATTTTATTACACACATCTACTGGTCTCTTGTGTACGTATATTTAAACTCGTTTCGTGTAATACCGAGAATTGTATTGTTAAAAAAAATTCATTGATTTTTTTTTTGTCGTAATTGGTGTGAAGTTTTTTGTTGGATGTATAATAGTAGTATCTTGCGAAATGCTCATATTATATGTACACAAATAATAGAAGCTTGTACACTAGTCGATTTTTGGTGAATCACTGGTTGTCTATAGTCTGTAAACACCCAAGGTCCCAAATCTGATCCTTGGGGAACATCGTATAAATCATATTGACAGCGCTAAATCTACTGTCATCCATGACGACACCAAAATATGCTCTGAACCATTAAAGAACTATATCTACTAAAACAAGTCGTTGTTTTAGGACCATAATGTAAGCACGGTCCTATTAAAATTATCAAATGTTAGTAATCTCTTGTATAGACAGAGGCGCATATATGGATTCACTTCGGGAAAGGGTTTGTATATATGTTCAATCAAAACACCCTACTTGGTCATTATTTAGGGTACCAATTTAAATGCATAGTTTATTTTTTTAATTTTTATACACCCACATGTCCACGTGGACGTATTGTCTTCGCCCCTGTTCGTCCGTCCGTCCACAATTTGTTTGTGGACACTCTACAGGTCACAATTTTTATTCGATTTTGCCGAAACTTGAAATATAGGTTTATCTCCCAAAGATCTCGATTCCTTTCGAAAAGTCACGTTTTTAGCGTGTGGACACTCTAGAAGTCACATTTTTGTCCGATTTTGATGAAACTTGAAATGCGTGTTAATAACCCAAAGATCTATATTATGTTCCTTTCGATATTCGCGCATATAGGACCATAACTTCATAGATTATGGCCACTGATTGTATAAAATAAGCACACATTTTTTAAAGCGCATCCCCTTACCATCTCTTGCAAAATGTGGGCGTATCTTGCATGGCAATCACTTGTTTGGTTATTTAAAGCTATTTTCACACATTCGTGGTATACCTTTTTTGTATAATAATATAGTATATATTACAAGGTGTGGGGTAATACGAGCCTGGCCCCTCAATTCTTTTATGCGAATAAAATATTGCGTCTCAAAAAAATAATAAATCTTTTATTTTTTTTAAAAAAAAAAATGCATCGGGTTATATAGTGGTTGAATCAGTTCACGAATTCTTGTCCCATTGAAGACACAACTTCAATATATATATATATATATCCAAAATTATTAGCACAACCGCAAAGCTGCACTACTTTGTTTCACGGTAAATGATGAAAAGATAAAAAAAGGTATGCCGACACAAACTGATTTCAGCACTGGTTTAATAACATTTTAACATTTTAAAGTACTTTTCGTCCGTCTTGGGACTATTCATAAATAATGTCATTGTATAAAGATGGACAGTATAGTATATTTATACATATTTACATAGTAACACTGTGGTTTTAATTGGCTATAGTTACCATTGTCTATGGTTACATAGTATATCGTTAACTAATAGAAACATGTACACACATGTGTTAATCTGTAGTATATGGGGTTCAATTTATGAACAATGAGTTTAAGATAATCATGGGATAGATTTAAGAAAATTAATGAAGCTAATGGCCAATTGTTACTTATTGACTATTAAGTCGAGGAACATATTTTTTAATAAAATGGTTTTCCATTAATTTCCTTTTCGTGGTGTCATCGACTTTCATTTTATAAAAAGGGAAAATTTGGAATTTTACTTGTAGGTGTTGTGCACATTTATATATATATATATATATATATATATATATATATATATATATATATATATATATATATATATATATATATATACACACGAAAGAAAGATTAGATACGCGTGGGTAGGTTTTTATAATAATTATTTTATCATAAACTAGACATAGCTTCAATTTAGGAAACCTAACTGAAAACATATCTCAAAGATTTATTTTTTATATATTTTATAATCCAATAGGTATACATATCATATCGAAAAGTGCTTTTTCGCGTTGGGTTTTTTATTTTTTTTTTATCTTATTTTCTCGATCCATTTCAAAGTATTGTATAATGAGTACAAGAAAATAATCCTATGGAAAATGCACCAAATATACATTTTGTCTCAGATGTTCGAACGTTAGTGGACACAGAAAATACTTGTCGGATGATAATCATTAATGCAAATATTATGTAATCTATGGGTACTAAATGTTTCTTCATGTAGTTATAGAGAAATCTCCGACAGTCTTCCACACCTTTGTACTACATAGAAAAGGGAAATAAGTTGTATTTCAATTGGACTATGTTCGGTCATGCTCTCATAAATATCGACAAAAATACAGCCAATTGGGTTTGGCCATTAGCCAACGGTTATTAGTAAAATGAATCACCACTGACTTTAAAAAATAGTAGGGCGATATACCCATTTCATTTCATTCTTTTAATAATTAATTAAGAATTCTTTTTTAATTGTGATTTGGTGTAAAACCGTGATTTATTTGTCATTTTTACATCCGAATATTATCATATCCGAATCAATGAATAACACTATTATCGGATATATACTTTTGTTCGTAGTAGTTTTGGTTCACTGATTTTAATTTAAGTTATGTCCGTTCGAGCATAATTAGGCCACAATGTTTGGCAATCAAATCATATTTTTACCTAAAAATATATTTGTGATGTTAGGATCTCCGCTGTCTAGGAAATAATTTTATAACTTTAATGTGTGTTATACCAAATGTAATTATACCTTTGAGTAGAACATTATGTGTGGTTCTATCGATTGTATAAATACATTAATATTTTAATAGGATAAAGCAGGAAATGTATCGAATAAACATCCAATATGTCGTCAAAATAAGTCGAAATCATTGGTTCACTCCTTTTTTGGGAATTTTCCTATATGCAAGAAGGAGTGAGGGGGTCGGCTTCCATATCTACGTCCTAAATTTTGTTTTACATGATAATAATTTATTTTAAATTTCCAAGTACTAATAACCTTTGGTACATTACTGCTAAGATATTAACTATACAGACTATTCCAGTTTCAAATATTATACAAAGACTTTTTGAATATTTGAATTAGTAAATTGTGTATTAATAATATATATTAGTAACAATGTAAATTTACCTTGTCAACATGAACTAACCACGTGAAAAATACAGTGCTGGTCCTTAAAATGTCCATTGGGTGGACAACGTTTACAACACGTCAAATAATCAGGACAAGAACAACACCTCCAAATGAAATGAATAATGCCCCGAAAAATGTCGGCCAATTTCACTGTGTAATCCTTGAAATATATTTATAGTTTCAAATGTAACTATGGTACCGTCAATCGATTCTAAAGAACAATTTACTCGACACCCTACTCATGTTGTATGATAATCGTGTGGTAGTTACAAACTGGTCCGCGGTGGATCTTACTCTATCGCTATTATCACTAGAAGGCGTGATGGCAGAGAAGCTTCTATCATTAGGATAATATGATTATTTATTAAGGGCGTTGAGTAGTCTAAGATACGCACTAACATTTCAGTACCAATCTTATTAAGACTTTGCATACTTGTTCCATGTGTAAAATAATGTGTAATAATGGGAGATACAATCGGAGAGAAAATGAACTATTTATAGCAAACGAGAAGGTTTCCCTGACCTATTTCAGTTGTTAAATAAAATATGACGTAGTACGTACATCGGTCACTTGATCCGCAGTAAACAATCATGGCTGCCCCCAGCAACAGTTTAAAGCTGGACCACTGATCACAAACCTATATCCAATATTCTTCTTTACAATTTAAAATTCTGCCTTTTCACTGTTAATTTAATATTTAAAAAAAGCCAAGTAGTGCACTGAATCCGAATTGTATTTTAGAACTTTTTGTGGACGTTTCCAAAGCATTTACTCAAAATCTCGTTTGAAGGTAAATAATGAACAAAGATTTAAAAATACTTTGAGTTGACATTTTTAACGTTTGAGCTGCCGAAATGGCGCTTCTTTGGATACTAGACAAACCACGGTCTAAATTCAAAAAGTGAACCGTAGGTTTCTTGGACTTGCATTTAGCATTGTTCATGTTAAATTTGATTGAAATGAGACTTCTGTTGTCATCGGCACCCTTTAATATCTTGCTTTTGGGCAAAGTTTGTAACATAGTTGGTAAATAAAATTGATAGTATTTTCTAATTAACATGTAACAAAAAAATGACATATCTTAGGAACAAAACTGACAGAGCTAGCTTTTAAACCAACATAAACTAGTTACACATGTGTAGTGGCACGCACACGTCATTAAAAGATCAAAATCTTATGTGTGACAGTTTAAGAAATTATGTATAACAACCACAATGTGTATGAGTAGATCGTTAAACCCTATTTCATTTAATTTCACAATGTGTATGAATTTGGGATATTAACAAAAGCAAGGCTTAAGCCGTTTGTACACGTTACTATTTTTATTAACAAAGCGTTTGAAAAGGTAATTTAGATATTCATAATAACCATTCACAAAATATTCAGAAAAGCCATTCAAGTTTTTATAAAAAAAAAACCCCAAAAAAACCAAACATAATACATATTTAAATTAGAAATTCTGGAGACAAGACAGGGGGAAATTTTTAACTTCGAATATTTTCCCCAAATTGCTCATATTATTAATAAATATCCCCAACTTAACCTGTTGACCCGTTTACTCTAAAGTTATTTGTCTTCTTTTACACTAATGCCTCCATATTCCATTTGAAACATATATTGGAATCGGTCATTTATTTGGTTTAAGATTGTTCTATTTGTTTTTCTTACTGTATAAACAATATTTTATATACAGAAACTGGACAGCAGACAAAAGCCCATAGACGTCTTCTCCAAAAACATACAAATATTGAAAAGAATAGGAGAGAGGTTATCGGACGGCTATATAAATATATACATTGTCATGGAACATCAGCGTTTTATTTCATCAAGAAATCAAACAAAGCAGAATGTTTGGGAGATGTCGGGGAAAGGTCTTCCATAACATAAATTAACATAATTTTTTGGCTTCATCGTTAGCATACGGTTTTGATCACAATTTTATCGTATAGGTAAAAACCAATGCAACCCCTTATTTTCATGTAAAACAGGGGTTCGTCAAGGCGATCCAATGTCACCCATCTTTTTAATATGATCACTGAACTATTATTATAGGCTATTAGAAACAAGTTATATATAGAGAGAAATGGGGTTTAACGCCCACTCGACACAAATTAGGTCATTTCGGGACTAACATATGGTTCAATTTTATTTCAATAATTCGCTTGCACATATGTGTCTTTAGCCGTGGGAGAAAATCGGAGGACCCACAGAAAACCCACGAGGTTGGACAGGCGACTCTACTCCTTGTCACGTACAATCGGGGAATCGAAACCACGCCAGTTGACTAAATGACACTGACAGAATTTAATATTATACCGTGCTCACGTGCTAACCATTCGGCCATCCAACCCCCAAGACAAGTTATATATAAATGGAATAAAGTTTACTTATAAATCCTTAAAATTTAACTGCATTATTAAACGATTTTAGCTATGCATGCCATCTATTTGAAATACAGAGACTTGTGGGTTTATTTTCTACACTAACAAGATACGGAATAAATGCAAAAATTAAACTCAACCGGTATAGTTTGAAGTGAAAAGTTCATAAAAATTAACGGAATTTGTTTTCCCAAAGACATTCATACCACTGATGAATTGAATTTTTCAAATAAAATAACTGAAACAGGAAAAACATCAAGAATGTGAAATAAACATAAATTATTTCAATTTAGAAAAATATGAATAATTAAAACATTTAGTATTTCAAAAAAATTTTACCTAGCAAATATTAATAGTGTCTGATTTTAATATTCAAAATCTAGATTTAATATGAACTAGAACTGCGACGCAGTAATGACGGGTTTCACCGGTGCTCCGTTACCCTTGAACATATGTCACTTCCGGTACCGATGAAACCATTAAACAGGTTTCCATTTAAGCATTGCACACATCACATAAAATGTACGCAGAATCAACCAAATCCAGCAATATCAATTCATTGTATACATTCATTACATGTAAGTGATCCTGACAACGTTACATTACTTCCGGTGATGATTAAAATGTTAAATTAGTTTCATGAAATCAGAAATAGCATAAGGCATCACATGGTGAAAATTTTATGTAAATCGAATAATATTTGCCACTTTTATAGACCAAAATCCTTGAAAAGTGACTTGTAGAAAATCGTCTATTTCTCTGCAACCGTACAAGTTAGAAACCATTTTTTGGTATTTGTATGATCGTGTGAGTTCAATCTATTTGTTGACTGGAATCAAATATCATAATTTTAAAAACAATACAAATCAGACTCATTTGAATAAAATATCTGTTTTGAAGGCTAAAAATACAGTTTTTGCCAAAATGACGTTACTTCCGGTGATAATGAAAATCTTAAATTACTTGAATGAAATCTTAAATGGCATTAGATATCACACAGTGAAACATTTATGAAAATCGAATAATAATTGACACTTTTATGGTCCAAAAACCTTGAAAAGTTACCTGTTGAAAATCGTCTATTTCTCCGCAACTGAACAAGTTAGAAACCATTTTGTGATATCTATATGATCGTTTGGGTTCATGCTATTAGTTGATTGGAATCAAATATCAAAATTTTTAACAAAAAACAAAAAAGACTCATTTGAATAAATTACTGGTTTTGAAGGTTATAAATACAATTTTTGCCCAAATTACGTCATTTCCGGTAACATTTAAATGTTAAATTGGTTTGACCTTGTTCAAATTGACATTACGCATCAAATGGTGTCACTTTTATGAAAATCGAATAATAATTGACTCTTATACAGGCAAACTAGCGTAAAAAGTGACTCATACAAAATTGCCCATTTCTCGGCAACTGTTCATATTAAAAATTAATTTTCACATACATTCTCTTCGTATGGATTATTGCTACTAGTTTATGAAAGTTGCGAAGAAATATTTTAAAATATGAAAAGCCTGAATGGGTTGTGAATAGCTCATTTTTTCACCTTTTTTCACCTTTAAATCGAAATGATCCGAAAACGAAATAAAAATTAAAAAAAACTGAGCGCGATGATTTCTGCGCATTAACAGGGCAAAGCCTTTCACTCATACCAGATTTGAAAAAAATAATATTTGCTTTCAAAAAGTGGTAACGAACTCTCAAAATTGCAGTTTTTGCTAAATTTATGTTACTTCCGTTGCCGAAAAGAAAATGTACCGGTAACAAAAAAAAATGACAGTTTGGACCGCGGAAGATATAAACTTTGTTTTATACAAATCGAACAATAAATAATTAATCCAGGCCTGAAAAACTAAATTAGCCAATGGGGGCCAAGGAAAAGTACGGTGACAAAAAATGTTGACATTTTTTGTCAAATCAGATGACCCTTTAATCCTTGGTAAAATACCACATAAAAATATTCATTAATAAAAAAGTTTTTCGTAAAAATTTAAATTTTCAAAATTTGGCGCCTAATATCTCCGAAAATAAAAAATCCAAAGAACCTTAGCTATGTGCCTTGTCTCTGGCTATGTCAAAATGTATCAAATATTACAATCCGACAATTATTGATAACATTACGGCAAAATATCGAAAAACGACAACTTCGGTGATTTCGGACATTTCGCATTGTCGCAGAACGTTGGAAATAGCTTTAAAATTTAAGTCAAACCCACTTTCCCAGTAAAACCGTAGACATCGAATCGATCCGACAAGTAGTTTCTGAGATATGCTCAAATGGAAAAATAATAATAATAATAATAAGAAGAATAATAATCCGAACAAAAACAATAGTGTTTCACACTGGCTACGCAGTTTGAAACCCTAATAAAGCGCGACATTCATATACAGTGCAATAAAAATTGCGAATTAAAATGATGCACTGGAAATAATTTTGATATTTTTGGTTTAAAAAATATATCAGTCACCCATTCAAACACGTCTCGTATTATGCTTTCATTATGACTGAATATGGTGTAACTTTATTACCTGCATAGGGTAAATTTAAATACTCTTCTTTATTTAACAAAAAAAAAACGCAAAGCAGCTGGTGCGGAATTTACACAACGCCTATAAAGAAAATTACTCATGCTGAACATCAAATCATTTGGTATGATATGAATATATAAGATTTATAACAAAATTTAAATTTTAAAATGGTGTTTTTAACAAGAAGATTAATAATAAAATATCACTTTTAAAAGGGTCTTTTTAACAATAAGATTCAGTATTA